GAATAGTAGAGCTGGAAGGAGCCATGAAAGCCATTGGGTCCAACCCCCTGCAGTTGCAGGTCACCAGGTCACACCATCCCACTCGGAGGGCTGCCCAGTTTCTTCTTGAATGCCTCCAGTGTGGGAGAGCCCCCCACCTCTCCAGGCAGCTGGTCCCACTGTCCTATGGCTCTGATCATGAGGAAGCTTTTCCTGATGTCTAGCCTGAATCTGGCTTGTCGCAAGTGATTGTTCCATGTCCTAAGAAGAATCATAGAATCATGGAAGAGTAGAGTTGGAAGGGGTCAAGAAGGCCATCAAGTCCAACCCCCTGCAGGACACCAAGTCACACCATCCCACTCAGAGGGCTGCCCAGTTTCTTCTTGAATGCCTCCAGTGCGGGAGAGCCCCCCACCTCTCCAGGCAGCTGGTCCCACTGTCCTATTGCTCTGACAGCTAGGAAGTTTTCCCTGATGTCCAGCCTGAATCTGGGTTGCCACAACTTGAATTGATTACAGATAAATAATGTACAGATAAATAAATACTGACGGCACCACGTCCCCCCAGGAATTTCATGACGTGGTTGAACAGCATGCAGGATAGACCAGACCTCGGAAGCCCCTAACGTTGTTGTCCAAGGGGGTTCTAAGCCCAAGCTTAGAACAACAACCCCCAAGCACCGCCTCCTGGGATCGGCCACGCAAGCAACAGCAGAACATTTCCCCCTGATTTGGAGCTGTCTGACCTCCCATAAACAGCTTCAATCAGCAAGGATAAGGCATTAATAATGGCACGCAGACACTGTATCATTTAATTTGTCATCCTTAATCATAATTCATTGCTGGACTCATTAGATTTTATTTCCTGGAACAACCGCTCTCCATTATGTGCTTGTGAATGCATTTCCCCCTTATCTCCTGTTGTTGCATTTCTACCCTGCCGTTTCCCCTCTTGCAAGGAACCCAAAACACCTGATGTGGCTTTTGTTTTTTCATCTTCACAACAGCCCTGTGAGGTGGGTTGGGCTGAGAGTCAAGGGCTGGCCAAGGCCACTCGGTCATTTTCACGGCCGACGGGGGGCTTGATCCTTCCAATGATTGAGAGGAACTCCTGCGAATGCTCATGGGGAAGATCGTAGAAGGGAGATGACCCTGTCAGTAGTAAAAATGTATCAGCGCCAGACACACAAAAGAGCTGCTTAATACAAGGCAAGGCCGGCATTCCTAGGGAATTCCCTTCTTCACCGCCGTTTCCCTTCTTCATTTGCCTTGTCTATCAACTTTAATAAGGACACGCTTGGCACTTCAGAAGTAATTATCTTTGCTGCACTATTTCTGAGTGATTTCTTGAAGCTTCCATTTCTTTGAAGGCTGTTGTAAGATTTTTTTCCCTTTTGCTACTTCTGCATGTGCTTCTTGCACCTTCTTACGGACATGTGAGTGTTTTCCACCAAAATTAGGCCAGGGTTTGTCTGTGTGCATCTGGGTAGTTTTGGGGTACCTCCCTGAGCTTGGGGGTTGTGGGTCCAGCTAAAGAAGGCACAGCCCTCTATCAGGTACGCACCTTTCAAAACATTTCCGGAAGTCCGTGGCTCTATTTTGCATTCAGGCGTAATGAATTAACTCTGTACTGTGCCTTTAAGGACAACCCAGACTCCTCCCAGTGGGGGCTGTGGTGGTGGTGGTGGTGGGGAGCTTACTGCAAGCCTGGGTTAGGAGACCTGCCACAAATTTGCCAAGAATCTGCTTGTTGTGTTACAAACCCCAGAATTCTGTTGCCAAAGTACACCAGTCCACAGCGCTGAACAGCTTCACAGCAGGGGGGCAATTCCCCTGGTCAGAATATTTATTCCCGCAGGGATCCACGCCCCTGGGTGCACCAAGTCTATAGCGGATTTCTCGTTCTTCTAACCGACCGACATGATTCAATTTCACGGTGCTCGAAAGAGGAGTGCAATCTCAGAGCGCTGGATGGAAGTTGCTCCGACTTCCTCCTCTTTAATTTTTTGAATACTTTCTTTTTAACAGCCGTGCTTTCTCCTGCTTCCAGAAGGAAAGTGATGCTGACCTCATATGACCCATTTTTTAAAATCCAGTGCTTTCGCCTTGGGATAATTTAAGAGCTCCGCGCCAGTGCTGTGGCACAGTGAGATAAGGTTATCAGCGGTCCTGGGCAATAGCATGCATTGGAGAGGAGAAGGCGATGGGAAAGCTAGTCCTGCCAGAAACTGGCAGAAACTGGGTGGACCAGAGTTCGTGGCGAGCCTGCTATGGAACCAAGCGAGCAGGGAGACCAGAGCCAGGCAGAAGAAGAACTGAAGTTGTCAGTCCCATAAGCTGCCTGTCTGGACCCACAGCTAGTATAGGGCAGAGCCAGAGGCAAGGGGAACCGTGAGTGGGAACCCGATGAGAACGTTAGGCATCAGTGGAGAGAATGCTGTCCACTTATCCATGGCCAAATAAGAGATGTCACTATCAAAAGGTGCCAAAAAGAGGCCATGCATAAAATTTGCTCCTGCAGTGTGAGGATGCTGAGGACACAGTGGGTTAAATCGTTGAGCCGCTGAGATGTTGATCGGAAGGTCGGCGGTTCAAATCCGCGCAATGGGGTTAGCGCCCGCTGCTTTTTCCCAGCTCATGCCTACCTAGCAATTCGAAAACATGCAATTGAGAGTCGATAAATAGGTACCACTTCGGTGGGAAAGGTAACAGTGTCCCATGGGCCTCAGTGCTTGCTTATGCCGGCCACGTGGCCATGGAAGCATCTTCGGACAATGCTGGCGCTTGGGCTTACAAATGGAGATGGGCACCAGCCCCAGAGTCGGACATGACGGGAACCCTTGCCTAATGGATATGTATGTGTATAAATTTAGAGATGAGGTCAACCGTTGAGGTAGAAATGCAATATCTCTCATCAGACTGTGGAAGTCTCCAGCCAGGAGACACACAAGTTTGCCTGTCCCATCTGTGGGTGGGTCTTCTGGTTCTTGATCTCCAAACTGGAGAGCAGAACAGTCCGAGATTGCAATCTTTCCTCACAGGGAAGCCATTTCAGCATATTGATCATGTTGGTGGTTCTCTTTGCACCCTTTTCTGGGTTTATAACATCCTTTTTGAAGTTCCTCTCACTGTATTATCTCGGTTTCTTGTTGCCATGGGTCGTCCCACAGGGACAATTATAACCACCCCAAGGAAGTTGACCAAGGGCTTAGTTCCAGCAGCAAATGCATTTGTGCATGGTATCCAAGACTTTGTTGTTGGATCATCTTCTGGAAAAGCATATTTAAGGGGCTGCCTGCTGAGAAGAGAGGGAAATTTTTTCTGGAACCCTCTTGAACTTGAACACGGAGATAATATATGGATGAGTGGAAGAAATCACATTTCTGCCTTTTCCATGTTGGGCATCGTCCAACAGTTAATGCTTGTTCTTCTGCCATTGGAAATGCCTCCTGGAATCCACTGGCTACAGCTTCCAAATGCATTTTCTCACCCCTCATCTCTGTTTCTCAGTTCCTTCCACAGAGGTCTCACTCCACCAACCCAGACTGCATGACGCCCCATGGTACTATCCTCCATCAGACCTTGGATTTTGACGAGTTCATCCCACCAATCCCACCTCCGCCCTACTATCCGCCTGAATATACCTGCACTCCCATGATAGAAGCTCAAAGGTGATCCATTTCTTTAGTCGGTCCCTCGCGTTCAACACGAGGGACCCAGATGAGCCAACACCCTGGACCTTGCACGATGAGGAAGTGAGGTCTTCGGCCTCCACAGAGGCTGGTTGTCTTGCTTTTAAAGGTAGCACTAGAGAGTTTGGTGGCCAGTCACAAGGCACCGTCCTTCTAAGACTCCATCTAGCAGGGACGTCAGAGAAATCCACAAAGGATGCGAAGGAATTTGGTTTGCTGTGAATCCAACCTGCAGATTCCTCAGTGGAATGGGTTTTCTGAGTCATGCAGATTTGAGGCCTGTTTAAAAAAAAAAATGGGGAGGATTTCTGCAAATTTGCACTTGTGCTAATTTGGATTTGTGCTGATAAGCAGTTGTGCAAGTGTGTATCCATGCTAGTGAAACAAAATTCACACATATCCCTAATTTTAAAAAATGATTCTGTCAACAAGCATGTGACAGAATGAAAGATCTCTGGCGACCTGCAAGACCCTGATGGAACGGGCTGAACAAAATCTGCAGCATACAGTTACCTGGGAGTAAATCCCTAATGTCAGCTAGATTTACTTTGGAGAAAGTATGCACAAGATGGTGTTGTGAGTTGCACACACCTGCAGTGTTTTTTATTCATTAAATACATTTAATATTTAGTTGGACTTTCGCTCAATTAAAATAAGCCCTCTTAGTCGACCAGTCATGCATAATTGAGCTGATTCAAGGAGTACAATTAAAACTTGCATGCATTTGCCTCTGGGTAGAAATAATCATTCTGGAGCTTTGGACTGGCTCACCTGTGCTGCACCAGCCACGTCCTTCACTGGGTCATTTCTTCCTCTATAGGAGAGAAGGACGAAGCCCGTTTCAAAGTCACCCTTTCTAGAGGGTCGCTCATGTTAGGCCATTGCAGCAAAACATTTATTTTAATGTATTCTAATGTTATTTATATGGACCTAATTTATTGTTGTAATCCGCCCCGAGGCTTCGGCGAATGGGGTGGCATAAAAATGTTTTGATAAATAAATAATAAATAAATAAACATTTCCAGCTGCTTGACCTGGTATCCTCCAGTTGTTTGAGCCTGCAGTTGCACACGCTCTACCAGCATGGCCAGTTCTCAGAGAGGATAGGATTTGTTGTCCAAAATATCTGGGGACAGCAAGTTACAGACTGACAAACAGCTATAGCCTGTTCTAGACTAACACATTTATTATGGGATAGGCTTTGTGACATGTTAGTCTATCTGTTTCCGCAAGATGTTCCACTGCCCAATGATCAGGGTACCACTTTGGTCAAGTAGGGATCACTTTATTGAATTGGGTCGAGTTAACTTTGCCTCTGTGGTCATTAATAGCTTTAGCTCTAATTACTTATGATGCTGATGCTGATGATGCTTTTCATTTTAGAGGGCTCCATCTGGACTTTCCTCACTCACCCTTCAGTGCTTTATACGAGGTAACCATCAACAGCCCTGGGATGCTGTATCCAACTGAGCTGCCTCCCCCATATGAAGCAGTGATTGGACAAGCTGCAGCCAATCAGGTAAGAGAGCATCAGTAAAGGTGATGGAAACTCATGGACAGAACCTCAGAAGAATAAAATGTGCATGGTTACAAATGCAGGAACTTCTTTAGATGGAGGTGGATTCGATTCTCACCCTCGGTGATGTTTCTAGTGCACCTTTAGTTTCAATAATTCAGAAGCTGTTGAATGCTTCATTACTCATTACTGCTTCCCTGATTGATTGGTTGCTTGTTTGATTATTATTAAACTTGTATACCTGCTTGTAAATAGTCCCCCAAAGGTCTCTCTAAATGGTTAGATAGATAGATAGATAGATAGATAGATAGATAGATAGATAGATAGATAGATGTAATCCTATTCTTCATTCATTCATTTGTTCATTTATAAGCATCTCCCCCTTTTTTCTTTTGGTTGATGAATGAATTAAGTCGTTCAGAGTGAAAATTAACAGTTACAAATGAGATAACACTCGACGCAGACCAATTTCATTACAACTTTTCTGGACACTCAGGATTTCTATTTGGTACAAACCAGATCAGCTGAGAAAGTTACCACGCATCACCTGAATAGATCATACCATAGTATTCCATGTGTCTTTAGGAGGCGGTTGTGTAGCCATCTTGGAATTAGCGAATTCAGTAAACGTCCCACATCCCATAAAATGCGTTCGCTTGTAGTTGGTCTCGTCGTACCTGCGGATGTCTAGTCGGTTTCTCCATTTGCAGGAGGCCCTCAGTTTTCTGTTTCCATCTGATAAGAGGAAGGAAGCTTTGATCATAAGAGCTGGTACATGGGGCATTTGGGGGCTTTCGTCCCTTGGGTACCCCATAAGCTGGAGATGATTTGACAGCTCATAACATAACGAATGTCTACCAAAAGACTCCTAAATTATATTCCTGTAAAATGTTGTGCCATTTCATTTAAAACCTAATAATAGCATAATAAAATGCACAAAAACCGCAATAAATCCTTAATCATACTGGTCTGGATCCAGATTTAGTCATGTATAGGAGAAGCCCACTGAAATCATGTCTGTCCTAACTAGCATGCCCACCCCTCCATGAATTTTGATGAGTCTGTTCTGAGTATCTTTAAGTTAGGGTCCAGCCTGGTGATGCAGCTTAAAATGTTATATGGATGCAGAAATGCAAACCAGCCATGAGGTACAAGGATTAAAACAGGCCATGGGGAGTAAAGTGGGAGGCCTTAACTTCTAAAAATAGAGGATTTTTATAAGCCCCAGTGAACAGAAATGTCTTAGCCTGGGGCTGAAAAAGAGGAGCACAGGTATCGTGCTCGCTTCTCCTGACACAGGGGTCTTTCGCAAATCCATTTCCATGCTTTATGTAGCACAACATATTGTGGTAGCTGTTATGGGTAGTTTCAGAGTAGCTTCTTGTGACATTTGAACCCTGGATAATTTTTCTTTCATTGTGAGTTGTTGTTCGCCAATGAGCCAGTTGGAGAGTTCGTAGATGGTTGGGTAGCTTCAGAGGGGCTTGTCATGACTTCTGAACCCAATTCACTGTGGGTTGTCCCAAACAGCTAGAGAGTTGTCTAACAACAGAAACCTGTGTTCAAAAATGCACTTTTCCTATTCAGGGAGGGGAAAGGAAGCTCACCTTCAGGTAAGAATCAGGTGTGATGAGCACCAAGGTGGTAGAGAGAGAGCCTTGGTGAACTTAAGACGGATTTGTTATCCCATTCCCATCTGTTGGTTTGCACAATGCCAGAGAGCTAAGCTGTGGTCCCTGACCACTCCCAGTGTTCATAAAACTATTTTCACGAAAGCACGAAGCTGTTGCAGAAAGCAGCAAAGCCTTAAAAAGACACAGGAAGGGCACGTGGCAGTAGAAGCTGGAAGAAATGAATTTAGTTATGCAACTGCAGAGGAGATCTTGCATCTTGCATCTTAATTTATATCTTGTGCTAGTTATTGCCGTTGTTAAATTTGGTTTTAAACCGGGCTTTTATATTTTGTAGTATAATTTTAGGATGTTTTAGTGTTATTGTTATTTTTATATTGCACTAGTATTGTGTTTTATGTTGTGCGCTAAAGTGCCCAGAGATCTTTAGCTATTAGGTAGTATAAAAATACAATGCATTAGTAATAATAATACATTAACAAAAGTTGCAGCTGATCATAACGTTTAAAATCAAATAATTCTGTGTAGAATATAAAGCTTATGCTGTCTGTTCCCCTGATGCTTCATACGTACATACATACATACATATATAATATATAAAATAAAAATATATTATATTATAAACTCATTTTCCCTAAGATGGAACCCATTTACAAAAGGCAAAATGCTACCTTTACTTAATGGTCCTTATTGAACTAAAACTCAGCATCACTCCATGAAATTAGTTGGCAGCTGAAAAAAGGAAAATATAATTTTGCATAATGCATCGTTAGTATAGGATAGCCTTCTCTAGTCCAGTGTCCTTCAGATGCTTTGGATTACAGCCCCCATCATCCATGCCCATTAGCCATGCCAGCTATGGCAGATGGGAGTCATCATCCCAATTCTTTCCAGGGCAGCACTTGGGAACAGTCGCACTGCCACAAATTGGGTCTTGGGATGCTGATCGCCCTGTTTGGCTCAGGGCTGCATTTGCATCCGGCAGCGACTTTCTAGTATTTCCAGCAGAATTTCCCCCTCAGATCCACCTCAGGATGTGGTGGGTTGAATCTGGGAGCTTTTGCCTGCAAAGCAGATGTTCCACCACGGGAAACCCTTCCCTTTTCACGGGGCGAAACCTGCTTGTCAGAAGGCTTTGAAGAAAGGATTCGGAAGATCCAGGGAGGAAGTGGAAGCTGTCAACAGCTATTAGCCATCTAGGCTACCTGGAACTTCCAGGTTTAGATGTAGTCCCACTCCAGATGCCTGTTGCCAGAAGCAGCAAGACGCAGGTAGAGCTGCAACAAGCGTCCGTTTTTCCCAATTTAGCTTGCTCGCCAGGAGACTGTCTCTTCACGTCGTGCTCTGTATGACTTAGCCCGCGGGCTTCCTGGCTTCCTTGCAGCATGACAAGGCAACGCCTTGACTCGTTCATAGACTTAAAACGAGTCTAGAGTCTCCAAAACAGTGGCCCAGTGTAGTACCCGCCTCTTCAGGATTCCTGGCACCTGCTGATGGCTAGTTTTGGTCCTGGAGATTCTCTTCTATTTTTAATAAAGTCGCTTTAAGTTTGGCCTACTGCAAATGGCTGTACCACCTTTATCCAAGCCCGAAATTCAGTGCTTTGAACCTCAGAGCTCACCTCTGCCCTGGGCTTAGGTTCTTGGTTCCTCTCTCCAGTTTCCCTTCTGGGATATTTCCTGTCTCGTGGCCAACCAGGACAACCCGAATCAGCTGCCCCTCTTATTGCGTGGTAATAGAACCAGCAGTATCTGAATGATTTCTCAGATCCCAGTTATCCTGAAAGACTGAGACGTAAATCAGCAGCAAGGGACTCGGCCTCCCTTCGCGGTGTTCTGCCGAATCGCATCCTGGTTGCCAAAACAGAATAAAGCGAAAAGTTGCTGGCTCTTCAGTAACTAAGCTAGATTTTTCAATAGTGGTAATTACAGGTCTTCATAAGAGCTGTTGGGAGCCATTATCCTGTTTGCAGCACCTTGTTAATGCTTCTGGCAAGCTCGGCTGTTTATATTTGTGCCGATTAACATTTGAAAGCTTTTCCGAGAAGCAACGGGGCTGCTTTAACCAACGCAGGAAGTGCCGGAGTTGGCACCAGAGGCTTCTTTGGGGTGTGATTTCCCACAGCCTTCCATGCCAGCCACGAAGTCTGTAATGCCACTTTTCCCAGTTTGCTTCCGTGGCCAAGAAGCTCTTAAGGTGCCTTGAAAGACTGGGGCAATGGTAAATAATTGTGTGCAAAACATGCCCTTAATGGGTTTATTTTTCTCACACTTGAGTCTTCTTTTTTATTTAATTTATTTATTTAATTAATTATTGAAAATATTTATATGCCGTCCTATTCGCCAAAAAGCCTCAGGACGGCTTACAATGTCAAATATAACATAAACGACACAGCATAAATAGCATAAATAAAATTCCCGAGCCCCAGCCTGCTGCAGCATGGGCCCCATCTGAAGCTCTTTGGTGTCAGAGTTTGACCTATTCCTGAGACACCAGCTGTGGGCTCTTGCACCCTTGGATCTCCCGATCCATTGCACCTTTTATTTTGAACTTAGGTGAGCTATCTTGGTGTTCTGTAGTGGCGGGTCAGTTTCCAGGATGGGGAACAGCAGATCTTGTATTCCCGAGGGCTATTTTAGATCACTCTTCTCCAGTTCTGTGTGGGGTGGATCTCATTTGCACTCTCTTTCTCGGGAGTAACTTTTCTCCCTGCTTGACTCTCCAGTGCCATACACGCTTGAAGCTTCTTCTCAAAAAAGCCTTGGCATAGAAAACTCAGAGGCCTAAATTCCAGGGGAACTCACACAGCAGAAGTGCTTGTGTTGGCTGAACAAATATTTTCTGCAAAACGCCAACTTTCCTCTGCCCGCCCTTTCCTGCCTGCAGAATTTGAACCTGCTGCCATTTATTTCTCAGAAACAACCTCGTTCTCTTCACATTTCCCAACCCATCATCCTTTCTTTTTCTTTTCAAGAACAAGGCACACACAAAAGGTGGTTTTTTTGCTGCTGGTTTTTTTTTTTTTTTTTTTTGGGAAAATGTCAGAATCTGATACTTTGGGATGAAACAAAACTGCAGCATTTAGCCAATTCATCAGGTAATTTGCTTAAAATAGGCCTGTCATGTTTAATTAATTAATTGGTTTGCTACAGGGAGTAGGGAAATTGTAGGCAGAACTACTACTCCTTAAAGCACACACAGTGGGATTCATGCCAGCCTGAGAAAAAGGGGCTGCTTGTGCGCGTGTGGTTTTTTCCTCCCCGTTCATTCAAAATGACACCAAAGGAGGTGATAACAACAGCTGCATTTGTATCCTGCCTTTTTTCGTCTTGCAGAGAGACCTGGGTGGCATCCAGGTTTCTCCTGCCCTCTGGTTTATCTTCACAACTACCGTGTGAGGTAGGTCAGGCTTGGGGGACCCCAACTGGTCCCAAAGTCTCCCCGTGTGCTTTGTGGCCGAGTGTGGACCAGCCTCCACATCTCCCTCATTCCGTTCTCGCACTCGGAGGACCAAACCAGGCTGACGCTCACCTTGTATCTTGTTCCCGCTTGGCCAGGCAGCTCCCGGGTGACTTTTGGCCAGTCGCTCACTCCTGGCCTCGCCTACCTTGCAAGATTGTTGTGAGGATAAAATGGAGGAAGATTGTGTTAGCCATCCTGGAGGGGAAAAACCGGGTAGGATGCAACTATTGAAAATAAAGGAAATGGTTCGTGGCATCTCCAGCTGCCAGCCACTATCGGCCTGGCTGGACCTGCGGTCGAATCCAGCAGAGGTCCTTGTGTGCTCTCTCCCCATGTCTGCTCCGCCTTTGCTTGGCTCCTGAGTTGCGTTTTGCCTTCTCTCCTGATCTTGGGGTGGCAAGGGCTGCCCTGAACAACCTTTGGCATTGCTTCACAGGTTACCACCGCAGACCGAGAAGTCACAGAGGCCAGCCTGAGCGAGAGGGGCACCGCAGCGGCCTTCGGCAATCCAGGTAATTCCAGCATTGCCGGTTCACCTGCTTTGCTGGCGTTTCCACACTGATTCCAGTTCGGGTAAATCGCAGCCTTGCATAAGAGGCGATCAGGGAGTCCGAGCCGTTGCGCTCTGCCTGTGGCAGGCGATTCGTATCGGCGGGTCATCACCTGCAGCCACACGTTTCAGGGCGTAAACACAAGTGTGCCAACCAGCCCTTTGTTTGGGGAAATCTGTGCAAGGGCCTGTTCTCCTCTCCCACTTCTTCCCTCCGGACAATGACATTTGTCGGAGGCTAAGACGGTCGTCTTAGTGTCCAACAAATGAAAGGGAACCTGCGAGATTCATGAAAGCAGCAACAAGATGGCGGTTCTCCTTCCCGAAAAGTGAGGGCGCATCTCCACGGGAGCAAGGACTTTTGCTAGGGCTGCCTTTTCAGGGTTGCAAGTGTAATGGATCGGGAATGCTCTTTCTCTCCTGTCACACGCATTCACACATTTCTCTGTCTCTGAAAACCATTTTCAGCAACAAGGGGGAAGAGGGGCCAGAAAAAGAATAGAGCCATCAAAAAACCGATACCAAAACATGTGTATGTCTGCGGAAGAGATAAAAACCATCACTTGAAATACACATGGTTGCAAGCTAGTTCTTTTTTTTTCTTCTTTTGGTCTTTCCTTTTTACTTTGCTTTTAGCCAAAGCCTTACACACAAAAGGCCCTCTGATACACGGGGCAATTTGTCGGAGGGAGATAAAGGTGATTTGATCTCCTGTGTAGCTCTTTCAAACACATTGTTAAAGACAGGTAGGGATCCATCTCCGTTTCCTCATGCACGCAGAAAACTCTGATGACAGCTACATGTTCCTCGCTCTCCCCTGGCAAGAAAAAAATGTTTTATCAAAGAGAAATTTGCTTCAGTGGAAGCTGCTTTGTATGAAATCAGAATGCCAGACTCCCTGGCTCAGCGCTGTCCACCCCAGCCTTCTCCTACTCAGCCCCTTCTAGATATGCTGGATTACAGCTCCCATTTTCCCCAGGCTGCAAGAGTGTGGAACATTTTTGTTCCTCGGGATACTGTGTTGCTGAGTGAAAATCCACAAAAGACCTTCCCGGGGGACTCCAGCGTAGAATTGCTGAATTAGAAACCCATCAGCAAATTTGATTCTACCTGCTTAGGACACCAGCAAGACCCAAGGTTCCTTCTCAGATTTAAATGTGTCGAACTGGCCCAGCACAGCTGGGGCGAATTTGTCATAGCCAGAACTGCTGGCTGTTCTGCGTGTCAGTATGTTTCTCTTGTATATAATCAAGAGCCAGAATGGACATACTTGAAATCTGTAACTAGTGTCTACCTTTCCACCCTTTCATGTTTACTGTAGACCAAAAAGTGGCCAGAGTATTTTTCCAGTTGTCCACTGGCCTCTCTGTGGGCTTATTCTCAGATCTGAATAAGGGCAGGAGAAGGGAAAGATGCCGGCCGATCCAGGGAAGGGAGTCCAGGCTTAGTTGCAAGCCCAAACGCAGAGATCATGGCCATGTTGAAATGAAAAGGAAAAATGGCACAGGGGAAGGACCCGTGGGAAGTGTACCAAATGACAGGCTGGGTGGAGAAGAGGATCCCGTGGACTTTTGATCCCTCTCGGAAGGCTAGAATTGGTGGGTCACCCGGAAAGGGGTTCATCGTGGAGTCAGGATGGGGAGGGGGAATGTTTATTACAACAAAGAACTAATTTATCACGTTTAGCATTACAAAAAAAGTGTTGCTGGGCAGAAGCTTTAGTTGATTTTAAAGAATGATTAGATACAGATTAGAGCTCTCTCAGTCACTGCTTCCTGTCTAGGGAGAGCAAACTTCTGAATATTTGGCCCTAGGAGCAATGAGGAACTGGGCAGCCCTCTGAGTGGGATGGTGTGGCCTGGTGCCCTGCAACAGCTGGAGGGGTGGACCCGATGGCCTTCGTGGCCCCTTCCAACTCTACCATTCTAGGATTCTACGATTCTGTGATCCAGGAGTTAGACCTGATGGCCTTCATGGGCCCTTCCAACTCTACCATTCTAGGATTCTGTGATTTTAGGATAGCATGCAACGGCCTTACAATTCGACTCTTGTCTTCCAGCCTTGGTTGAGACCAGTTCTGACGTAGTTCCAGAACCCGCTGAGCTTTCTGAGCATCATGCCTTCTCCTCGGAGGATCTTTGTTCCCTGGAAGTCCAGCAGCCCCTCTTCTCTTCGGACTTGTCTCCATACAGCGCAGCAGCTCACAAAGGAGGCACAAACCGGAGTCACTCCAGCTTGGACTACAGCATCCACTATGGGGTGCACAGGACCCGTTCTCCGTGTTCCCCAGACAACGAGGTCAACAATGCCAGCCAGAGCTTTGGTGATGGGCGTCATGGACAGGACTTCGGGAACTGTTCCCACAGCCGCTCCCCGAACTGCTCTTCGGAGAACTTCGGCAGCTCGGAGAGAGCCTCGCAAGGCTCGGCCAGAGAGCGCAAAGCCACGCCTCCGCCAAAGCCACGGAAAACATGCTGTGCCGTTTTCAGCCAGGCCGTCCTCCCGCAGACTTGCCGGTCCCATTGCTCAGTGCCTGTAAGCAGCTCGCCCCACAGCTGCCCCGAGGGGATGGCCCAGCCCCACACGAGGAAAGGAAGGATGTCCGGTATCGTCCGATCCACTAGTGACCCCCTCTCGTGTTCGTCCACCACGGAAGGTAAAGGTGCATTTATCTCTCATGCCTCTGTCCCTCCTTTCTCCGGCGTGGAACTCAAGGCAGCGTAGCTCATTCTTCTCCTTCTCCCCGCTTTATCCTTAAACAATCCCAGGATTGTTCTTTGGGACATGGGCCAATAATTCTTCACAACCTGCCACTTCACGAGTTGCTTTTATGCCTGTATCTTGGTGTCACCACTGAGAAGGCCCTGTCTTTTGCTTCCACTCATGCTGAAGAACCAGGCTGGGCCCGAGTACCTCGGGGCCCAGTTTGCTAGTGCCAACGCAAACCTTTCCCAGTGGCCAGGAAGGAAAGGCATTGCTTTTGAAAAGCCAACGTGAGGCATACTGCAGGCAGGGGGAACTCTGACAGGGCAAACTGGTCTCCTCAGGCGTTCCCGTCCCACCACATGCAAATACTGTCTCTCCCCAAGCCAGGTTGTGCTCCTTGCTCACTCCAGAAACCGGGCCTCTGCGTGGTGCCCAGGTGTGTCAAAGTACCCAAATAGCCTCCTGCCAGGTTTCCTCCTCTTCCTCACATTGATCGACTTTCTTAAGATATGTTTAATTTTCTAAAAAAAGTATTTTCCTGACGGGCTGCCCCGGCATGCTGGAAAGTGAAATTCTGTCCTCTAGCACAGCCATTATTGGGGTTCAAAAGAGTGGCTTTGTGCTTTGGACCTCAGCGCTCACCCCAAGCTTCCATTTGGGGTCTTAGGCAAGCCACTGGCTTTGCTCTGGGTTTTCCTTCTGGTAGCCCCCTTATGTGACCAACGGTGCCCATCAGAGCAGCCATTTTATGAATGGGTGAGGAGCCCCAGGGCAGCCATTTTGTGAGAGTGCCAGTGACAGGCTCTCAAATTTCAAAAGGGGCCACCAACACAGGTTGGGGACCCCTGCTCCAGAAAGACGTGTGAAGCAGCTGAGAGAGAGAGGGGGAGAGAGAGAACTTTTAAGCATTACTCCTCTGAAGGTGGCTACCTGTGCCACCTAGCTTCAGATGTTTGCAAGAGGGTGTCACACGCATGTAGGACTTCGCAGAATCAGGGGCGGGATGGGGCAGCTGCAGGGCCTCTTCCGCCCATGGCGCCCCTTTCTGGCAATCCATGATGGGCAGCCATGGAAGCAGGGCCAAGCCAGTAGAACGAGGCCAACACTGGACTGCCTAAGCAGGAAGGCCACCCTCCGAGAACCATTTCTGCACCTCGAGACGATGGTGGGGAACATCGGGAGAGCCATGCCAGATCAGACCAAGCTCCATCTGGCCGGCCTTCTCTCCACGTGGCTGCCAACCATGGAAGGCATGCAAGCAGGGCAAGAGTGCTTCCCACCCATGTTCCCCCGCAGTTGGCCCACGAGGACAGATGGCCTCTGATCCTGGGGACAGGAGCGAGCCACGAGAACCAGGAGCCACGAAGAGCCGGCCCAGCAGGAGTGTGCTTTGCTTAGGTCCGAATGAGCACTGGTGTTTAAAACTCCCTTTCTCCCCTCCCCTCCCCTCCCTCCCCTCCCCTCCCCTTTTATTTTTAGTTCCTCTGTCTGGTCCTCATGTGGCTGCCTCTACTTGCCAGGACCCCAGACGCCACCCCTCGCCAGCCAGGAAGCCGAGGGACCCCCCAAAAGCTGAGCTCTCCCGGAAGCCGAAGGCCGTACACGACACCTGCCAAGAGCAGCCCCACTCGCTGGTGGACCTGCAGGCCTACAAGGACACCAAGTTCCTGGTGGGCAAGTTCCTGGAGCACTCCAACTGCAACCTGCCCCCGGAGGTGCGGCACGTGGTGAACAGCATCCGGTCGGTCATCAAGTCCGACGAGCGGCACATGGAGGAGGCCATCTTCAGTGCGAGCATCATCGACCAGGTGGGCCGCTCCAGAGTCCCTCTGTGGTGGGGCCGGGCAGGCCTGGCTAGAAGCCCGCGAAGGACCTTCCCCCCACCAGGGCCCCCGCTTGCTGCTGTTCTTCCCCACGGCAGCCTGCCTATTTGCCTGCCCCTTCCATGGTGGGGGTGGAAAGGGGGAGTGGGGATGGCTCTCCGCCAGCCAAGCCAGCAAGGGGCAGCCAAGAGGGGGGGAGGCTTCCTCTTGGGTTCTGCGTGGAGCACGAGGTGGGAGCTGGTGGCCTCCTTGGCTCCGCCATTCTGGGATTCTGTGGGAAGCGGGAGGAGAGAGAGCTGCTGGAGAAGACCCTGGTGGGAACGGGGGAAGGACCCTGTGGAGGGTGCCCTGCCCAGGTCTGAAGGCAGTACTGGATTTAGGAAGGAGCTCTGGTCTGATTGACTGATCCAATGGTTTGGATCCTTGGTTTTTCCTTCCAAGGAATTCAAGATGGCTGAACATAGTCTTTCTCCTCTCCCATTCAATCCTGGGAGGTAGATGAGGCCGAGAGTCTGGCCCCAAATTGCCCAGTGGGCTCCGTGGCTGGTGGGGGAACGAACAGAACCTGGAGCTCCAGGCTGCCAGTCCAGCCCCCTAACCCCTAGGCCCCTCTGCCTCTCTCATCTGCATGACCCCAGATGCCTGGATAGCCCAGCAGAACCTCCCCATTCAGACGAGGGCTGCCACTCAGGACCAGTTTCTGGGCAGCCCCCACAGAAACGAGGGCTATTTGCTTCCCATCCAACATGGGGGCTTCCAGGAGTCCCTGGGTGAGATGGGCGTCTCTGATCCAGCCAGGTGGTCCTTTTGTGCTCACAGAGCCAGGATGCTCAGCCTCAGGGCCGAGGGCCAGATCTGGGCTGCCTGGAGTCCCTGCCCAACTCGCCAGCATTCCGGGTTGTGCGCTGCTTTTTGCTTCACTGTAAGAGTTTGAGATGTTCCTCCTCGGAAGCAGGCGCTTCCTGCTTGAAGGATGCTGGCAGGTTCGGTGTTCTGGCTCGGCCACTCCTGCTTTCCTCTGAAATGGAAGTGGGCCTTGCGCTGGAGGTGGTTCAGTGCGCCGGTGATGGAGAATCCGTGACCTGCCAGTGAGCACCACCGTCAGCCCCCCACCTTGCTCTGTCTCCACAGCCAGTGCGTGTCTTGGACCCTGCCGGTGCTGAGACGCTCTTTCATTCCTTGCAGAGCTGAGAAAGGCACCTTGCTCATGTTGGTCATGCTGACAGATGTCTCTGCTGCTTGCACAATATCAAAAAGGACAGCCCCATAACCAGCCGTCCCTTTGAGGACAAGGCTCCATTGCTGTCTGCCTGCAGATGGCTTCCTATAGCTTATTAGCTCAAAAAGTCCAGGGATTCAAAAGCCACCCTTGCTCTTAATGGAGGTCCGCGTGCTACAGAGATACTTGGTGAATTCATAGGACTGTAGGAAGTGGCCTTCTAGTGAGTGAGAAGGTCGTTTGGTCCATTTAGCTCAGTATGGTCGACTCTGACTGGCCGCTGCATCTCTCCAGGGTTTCAGGCAGGAGTTTTTCCAACCCTATCTGGAGATGCTACCAGGGGTTGAAACCAGATCCTTCTGCATGCAAATCAGGGGCTCCACCACGGAGCGTCGACCCCTCCAAATTCACCAGGCTTCTGCAGGCTAGAAATTAGAAACCCTTGGTGCAAGGCTAGCTTGGTTTTGGGGGTTTTCTAAGAGAAACTCAGCAATCCAAGGAGTCGCACAGCTGCCTTGAAACAAGGGAACTGTTCCAGAGATGTTGCTCCGTCCGGTCTACCTGGATAGCCACAAAAAGATCAGAGCTGTTCCACAGATGTACCCATGACTCTTGTCTCTGCACCAGTGCCTTTTCCCTTGAAACAATTGCAGAACGCAGAGCGGGAGCATAAGCAGACGAGTTGGACTGCATCTCAGGCTTTTGAACTTGAAACAGAAAGTCCCCTGCTTTTAACTCTCTCTCTCTCTCTCTCTCTCTCTCTCTCTCTCTGGCTGTGTGTGCGCGCATGAAATTTATAACCATCTGTTCTGCCTAGGAACATGTCTTTAAGGCAGCTGACAATAAGCAAAAATCAGCACATAATCAGATCTTCTTCCCCCGTTTTTTCCATGAAGGCAGGGCCAATAAAACATTATGAAAAATGTCCGTTCCTCGGGCCTTTGATGTTGCTGCTGCAGCAGCTGCCCACCCGCAGTCCTTCACAAGTCATCTGTTCGTGTTTTATAATATCGTAAGCCATCCTGAAAGGCTGGTGAAAAATCTGTTGACTGCTGGAATAACGATTGCATGTCAAAAAGAAGGGCGGTTGTACAAATGTGAGAAGATGCATTGGACCCAGTACTGTGGATACAGGTGGGCAGCTGGCTTCAGACTTGAGTTTTTTTCTAGCCCTGCCTGGAGAGGACCCTGGAAGTTGAACCCGAGACCGTTGGAAAGCATCGCGCAGCCTACGCAGGCTATGTTATGAAGCTAGAATCCAGTAGCTAGAGTACACAAGCCAAGTCTATGCTCCAGTTTGGCCCTTGGTGTGCAGAGAAGCCAAAGATGTGAGCTGGACATGAGTCTGAATGTTCCTCACCTGTGGAAAAAAGAGGAATTTAATTGGTTGCCTTTGACAGCGTCTTTGCATGATGCTACTGGCCCACCTTTGAGTTTGGTGCTCAAATCACCGATCAGAGGTGGATTCTGTGTGTGTATCCAGAACTTCTCTGCGCATGGCTTATAAGAGAAGAGTAGGACCTTGGTTCTACCTCTGAACCACCATTTTGAATCTGCCTTCATCTCCCAAGAGCCATTCTGTTACCGCTGAGGTCCATTCAGTCGACCCTGGAGTTGTGGTCAAACCCCAGGTGGGACCTGGCAAGTGTGGGGTGGCTGAGGGCCAGAAGAGGGTCTTCTGCTTGGAGGAGATAGCAAGGACAGGTCTGTGTTGGAAAGCGTCCTCTGCTTGATGGGTTGCCTGGTCCAAGTCTGGTTGAATCTCGGAGGACCACAAGGCGGCAGAGCAGGGTCGGCAGGCTGAGCGAGCAGCTACAGTGTGTTGCTTAACCCCTGGACAACGCAGGGTCTGTCTTCAGGGCTCGTGCCCCAACCCACAGAAGGGGCAGGTGTAGGCTGATCCCCGAAAGCGGAAGCAGCACGTGTGCATCCGTTAGCTCCTTCATGCGCATGGAAGCGCATCGGTTCATTAATCCATGATTGCATGTTACCAGCCAGTTCGTAATCCAGCTTCCCTACTCTCGTGGGATGTCTTGGCCATGTATTCAATTATACAAATTTCGTGCATCGTAGTTATTTTGCTTTGCATTCTTTTCCATTTATTCGTTCACCATAAGAAAATTAAGGCATTATTTAAAAAACACATTATACACATTATTTCTACATTCACACCTATACATATGCATGTGCTTATGCGAATGTTATGCAAATGGGCCATCTCTTTCGTCCTCTGTTTTGGCAATGCGCAAGAGGCCGGCCTGTGCACAAGTGTCATTCACCTGCCTCTGCCCTGGAGCGTGATTTGCTTCACCCTGGAAGTCCCAAAGAACGGCACGCCCTCATCCTCTCCTCCTCTTCCACAGGTGATCACAAGCTCCCAGCAGAATGTGGATACTTCAAGGAAGCGGCTCCTGGAAGACCTCCACCTGCAAAGCTGTGGGGCACTCAGCTCCCCCGTTGCCTTCTTATGCAGGGCCCACATCAGCCGCAGCTTAGAGAGGGAAAGGCCCCACAGTTTTATTGGAGTCTGCCGAGAGACCATCCTTTGACAATGAGCTGTAGCTCCACCAAGGGATGAACAAGAGACCTCGAAGGACCAGGCAGCTCATGAGACTCACTCGCCAGTGTGTGGCTTTAAAACGGCCAAAGGAAATCCAGCAGTCTCAGGAGTCTTCCTTTGGAGGTTCCTGTCTGGATGTTGACTTTCAGTGGCTGGACACCCCGATTTCCATGAAAGCATATTCAAGGGACACCTTTTTGCAAGAAAAATGGGGGCCCAAGCAAGCAAAGACCCCAAAGCAACGAACAAACTTGTGACTCTTTTTACCATTGCAAGGAATCTGTTTTTTAACGTTCTGAAGGTTCTGCTTGGGGAGGAGAACTGGGGAAAGACCACCCCGTTGCTGAGTGGCAGCGATGCTCCCATACAACGAAGAAGTGGTGTTTTATTCACAGTACCTCAAAAGTGTTTTAACTAATTCTGGACAGTGTTTTAATAATTATAATAATTATAATAATAATAATAAACATATTTCTGGGCAATGCATCTTCCAGAAATGGTTTTGTATGAGCAGAGGATGGATTTGCTATTGGTTTTCCTGGGTTAGAGGGAGGGCTACGCTTACTGTGTCCCATCTTTTTGGACGTTCAGGATGTAAGATGTTCAAGTTTGGATTTCTCTGTATTCCTTGTTAAAAGATTATTCCACAAAAATACCTCGGGTTGATTTGGGCTTTGCATTCTAACCATTGTCAATGTAGGACCCTGTCTCCTGTTACCTCGGCGATGTAAGTGCAGTCACCTTTCCAGGTGCTCATTTCGACTGGAGCCATCTTGAATGAGGTCCTGCGTGCTGCCTAGTTCTGATGTGCTGAACACCCAGGTAAGCGTCTTCCATTAAGACCCTCCCTTGAGGTCCTCCCTTGAGGGCCCCCGGCCTTTCAGAGCATGGTCTGTTCTGTGTTGTCTCCCCACCACTGCCACCTGCGGAATCCCCGTGTCAAGTGAAGGCTCCATTTCCAACATCCGCTTTTTTTAAGCTGCATCTGTCTTGTCGTTTGCAACAGCCTCGCACCCTTAATTCCCGTTTCCCGTCGGTTTTAGCTCACCGATGGTTGACTACTTCACCTTGCCCCAGTTGCTCTTCTGAGCTGCCCTTAACCTCTCCAAGTGGAGAGCTAGAAATTCACCAAATTCAGTGGAGAGCTAGAAATTCCTTTTCAGAGATGCTGCAAAAGACATTCCTTCCAGCTGGCCGGGCAACCGCTGGGGTTGCCATCTGGAGCATCCGTCTGGCCACTTATTCCTGAGCCACCCAGTTACCTTTAAAAGGTTCCTATCCAGGACTACAAAGGACTCATTGCCTCTCATGAGTCAAGCAGACTCACAGCCAAGGTAGGAGCAAAACACCATCCTCCTTTTCCGCTGAATCAGAACACGGCCTTGAAATCTGCAGTCTTATGTTTTGGTTACAAAGCCTGACTCCCTTTTCTCCTTTAACTGGGCACAAATTTGAGCTTGGGGGGAGAGAAGTGGGCATGCTGGAAGTCGAGAGGGACTAGGATCATGAGAGGATCAGTGCCAGTAAAAGCAGAAACCCCTGCATGGCTCTTAGCTATTTTTTCATCCTGATTGCGGGGGGGGGGGGGGGACATGCCATGAATTCTAGTATCTCTACTGCAATCACGGAAGATAGCGCTGTATCCCATCAGTAGAAGAGCGTGCCTTGCTCGATGCATCCCATTCCTTGGCTCTTTTCAAGGGCACAAGGATTTACAGGGAGATGCTGCTGTTGAGAAGCATCCAAAGCTTCCATCTTCAAGAAAAGCACCTCTTGGCTCTATAGCGTGAAGCTACAGTGACCTCCAGTGGAAGCCAAGGAGTTGAGACTGCCAATAGTGGGCACTTCTTGTACGATGGATTCCTGGGTATCTAAGCGAGCACTTAAGCTCTCTGCATGCACTTTCAGCCTAAGCCAGGCTGGCTCCAGTCTGCCCAGGACCACTGCTTGCCCTTCCTCAGTTCTGAGGGACTTGGGACAGCAATCTCACACAATTCCCATGGGAAGACACAGATGCTCCCGAAAAGCGGAGCTAGGAACTAGGAGTGCTGGTGCTCCATCGTGGCCGCCTGGTCTGCGAAACAAACAAGAGGAACCACAGTGCTTTAATACTCCAAATTTATTAGTGAGTCTAGATTAATTCTCTCCTAGGGTCACCTGCATGCAACAGAGATGTACGATGTTATTCCTTGAAGTACAGTAATCCTAAAGCTTTTTGTTACTGCATGGTAAGGCGTCTTAAGTCACAGTGTATTTTTCTTCAAGGCCTTGGGCCAAAAGTAGAGAGAGAGAGAGAGAGATTGAGAGAGAGAGGTTGGGGGAAGAAGGAAAAAACCAAGACGAAAAGTTACAGCAGTTGACATTAATCTCATAATGAACACAACATTACTATTACTGCGTTTATCATCTCCACACATTCTAATACTGTTGGTGGCCAACGGCTTCCCATCTGCAGCCACCGGTTACATTCAGAACACGTGTTGGCTCAGAAACACAACAGGAAAAATAACCGAGATTAAACAGTTTGTATAAAAATTATTATTTAAGCATGGCTTTCCCGCCCTGCAGTCGGGTTCAACCAAAGGGCAGTATGGAAGGTTGCGGGCTAGTAAACGTGGAAGGGCCCCCATTGCCAAATTAGTAGCAACCATGTTTGCCGTTAAAAACCATTAAGCTCCAAACATAAACTGACTTCATCTAAATAAATATTCAGTGTTCGTATCATGGCAATTCTTTTATTTTGCATTAAAAAAACGCTTTCCCCTTCACCCCACCCCGCAACACCCCTTGTTCCTGTTTCACATTTAAGTCACATCTCATCAAAACTCACAGTAATTACACTTGTCAATAAGAATACCAATGAAGACAGTAGTTTTTCTTTCGATTAGCATCCTTCCTAGCCCCTCCTGCACTCAGATTTGCATACGTCTTGGCCCTCGCCCTCTGTTCCGCACTTCGCATTTTTCAGTCAAGTGTGCAGGTTTTTCGGCCACCCTGATTTTAAAGTGTGTGTGTTTTCGCAGGCTGGTTCACACATTTGTCTTTGCCATTCTGGGCTAAAAGTGGCAGATGGTCGTAAACACAAGGCAGGCATGCCAAGGTCATGTTTAAATACACATTACAAGCACAACCCGCCAGGAATGAAGACTACACAGGCCCCACGCCACAGGCGGGAGCCAAGCGAGAAAGCGGTGGGGGGGGGTGTAGGGAACACCGGTGGTGGACTTCACCCTACGCTTGCATAACTCACACGAAAAGGGGGTTTTGTTGATGACCTTGCAAAATACTTCTGTGAATTAGAAAGATGGTGTCAGTGGTTCTTGTCCATAGCAACAGCTTCATCTTTTGGCAACACAATTTTTTAAAAAAGAGAACCTAAGAAAAAAAGGCGAAGAAGCTGACTCGGTTGAGTTTCCAGAATTTCCGGGACTCGGTTTCAACCCTTTCCGTTCCTGCAATATACAAAATTCCTCGCAAAGGTTTCTTCTTGCATGGCTGAGACTGCACAGTCCTTCGGATGAGAGATGCGGCCTCGTGCTAGATGTACAGCGGCGTCTCCTGTCCGGTGAGCAGCCTGAACATTGCTGCAGGCATGGTCTTCATATGGATCTAGGGCGCACGGGGCAAGAGAAAGGATGGGAACTGAGTTCAGTTGAAAGACACAGCGGAAAGGAGCATGGACTGAGTCTCAAGCTAATCATTTGTAATTTCATTTGAGTCTCAAGCTAATCATTTGTAATTTCAGTTCTCACTTTGAACCTTACGGGGGCCCTAGCACCGCCAATGAAGAAAACTCACTGGAGTGCTATTTATTCAGGCTGGACATCAGGAAAGGTTTCCTCACAGTCAGAGCCATAGGACAGTGGGACCAGCTGCCCGGAGAGGTGGGGGGCTCTCCCACACTGGGGAGATTCAGAAAGAAACTGGGCAGCCCTCTGAGTGGGGTGGTGTGACTTGGTGTCCTGCAACAGCAGGGGGCTGGACCTGATGGCCTTCATGGCCCCTTCCAGCTCTACTACCCCATGATTCTGTGATCCAGGGGCTGGACGTGATGGCCTTCATGGCCCCCTCCAACTCTACCATTCCATGATTCTATGATCCAGGGGCTGGACCCGGTTGCCTTCATGGCCCCTTCCAACTCTACTCTTCTATGATTTATGTATTTAATCTTTTTATACTGCTCAATAGCCGAGGCTCTTGTAGATCAAAAGATCTGGAGGACCACAAGTTGGCCACCTATACTGTAAGATTTGTATGGAGCAGCTGCTTGGCCTCTGTGCGAACAGAATGCTAAGCCCAACGGGCCTTGGATTGATGCAGCATGACCCTTCTTCCGTTTGGACCATCCAATTTCCACTCCCTAATTTCTGCCTAGGTGTTCACAGATAAGACAGACCTTCCTGCCTCTTTCATAAGCCTGTCCTCAGTCAATCATTGGAATGCCAATTGATCAAACTGAGAGACCACATGCAGACAAGCAGTGTTTACTGTTTGAACTGAATGGATTGCCAGTTCTTGGTTCATTTTACTCCTCTAACACTGAAATCAGGTAATGTGTCAAACATTCAGAAGCACTCTGCAATCTTTTGGAGGAATTCCACAAAAAATTCAGGCGAGGCCCGCTTCTTGAATTTAGCTGCCATTGATTCCCCGGAGGATGAAATGATTTTGTTCGTCCTCCAATACTAGAGTCTAAAATCTATTACAGACCCTTTATTATGAATAAAAGATTCCACTCGGGAAGACTCACCTCTCCCACTGAGTTCGACAGGGCTTGCACTATCTTCTCATGGGCCGTGGCAACAACACTTTGCCCATTGATCTCAATGATGCGATGGCCCACCCGGACCCCTCCTCTTTCTGCTATCCCACCTCTCATCAGACTGCAGATCTGCCGAAAGAAACTCACAATCAGTTTAAGAGCAAAAAAACCCGATTCTGCCAGATGTTCTGTGTGAAACTAACAAGAAGGTTGCAAGCGTTCAACTTTGGTTTGCTTTCCTAACATGATTTGCTATTGCTACAGAAAATGCCCCATGCAGGCATGAATTTGGGCATAAGTGTGGATTCCATTCTTTGCCTCTGGTGGGGCCAGGCTTCCAGGTTGAAAGACACAAGTTTTTGGTTATTAGAACCTTGAGAGCTATCGGCTGGAGCCAGGTGTGCAGGTGAGAAGACATGCTAGGAACTGGGGAACACGGTGCCTTGAGTACATGCTCCATACAGGAATTCCTGTTTAGCACTGGAACCCTGCTCACAATTATTTTCACCAGAGAGAGAGAGATCTGGGTTGTAGTTTCCTCTCCTCAGCCAGGAATTCCACTGGGTGACTTTGGTCCACCAGCATCCACCTTCCTGTCTTAGGACTCCAAGACAGAACAGAAGCGTGGTTTGATCCATCTGATGGGAATATTCTCTTATAAGGGCATATAATCAAGATGCCCAAAGCTCCATCTATATGAGGAGTTCCGTGCTCTCTTTTCTGAGATGCAGTTATGGATTTCTCTGGAAGGAATTCTCTGTGCAGCGTTTGCAGGCAAGATGGGAAAGCTCAGTGAGAGGCAGTGTGGTGTAGTGGTTAAGAACACAGGACTGGGACGCAGGCGATCCGGGTTCTAGTCCCTCCTCAGCCAAGGAGCCAACAGGGTGACTTTGGGCCAGTCGCAGCCTCTCGGCCCAGCCTACCTCACAGACTGGGAGGAGGAGGAGAATGACGTACGCAGTTTGTTGTAAGAAAAAAGGCAGGATTCTTTTAAAGAAGTTCTGACCTGCATCTTAGTCCTGGAAGTGAGCCAACCCTTAATTTGAAGTGAGCCAAAACTTCCAAGACCAAGGTGCAGCTCAGAGCACAGTTCTACCAGGGTGGTCCGGGGACCTGAGTCGCCGTCTGAGGCTCAGCCTAACCCACCATACAGAAAGGAGTGTTTTGTAAGCCACCTTGGATTCCTCGCAGGAAAAAAAGCGTGATACAAATATAATAAATAATGTTTCTGTCCAGACTGTCTCTTAGAGGAAAACCACATTTTAAAATCCCCAGGCAGATGTAGGCTTCGAATGGAATGGGACTGTGTTTGAATATCTGCGGAACTGACACAGAATGGACAGAGGTGGCTCGCTCTGTCCCCTGTTTGGACCACTCACTCTGTGAGGGCTTCCCAACATGCTCCACGGCTGAAAGCAACGATGCTTGGCTTCACGTGACGGCAACAATTTACTGTGTAACTTGGCTACCGGTGTTAGGAGAGAGCAGAAATGGTTGCTATGGGAATAGCCATCTGCAAACACACACACACACCCCCCTATCATAGTCCTCCACCTCTATAAAGGATCAAAATTCTAAGCCACGCGTGGTCCCGGCTCTAGCAAGGACATTCTTAAAATCAGCCTGCATCTGATGGATGAGGCAATCCCGTTTTGCTCAAAGGTGTTCTTGAGCTCAGCAATGGTAAACCAAGGAGGTGGCTACAAAGAAAGCTGAGCAGGAGGCAGCCCTGGATTTGATCCACAGAACCCGTGGCGCTGACAACCGCTTTGGGAAAGTCAAGGTGGCAAAAGACTGTGGCCCAAAGAGAGATGCTTTGCTCAAAAGGTGGAGTCCATCCCTGGATGGGTTTGTCCCTTGCCAAGCTCAGCATCTGTTCTCCCCACCACTGCTAATTCCACTTCCCAATTTGGGCACAAGGACTGGATTTCTCAAGCCACCGTAGCAGTGGAGCCACGGACCTGGCGCAATGAAGCTGCGGAACTCCATGTTAGAGAGCTCTCTGGGGTCACGTGCCAGGATGGGCAGGGTCGACGTTAAAAGGGGTCACAGCCAAAGTGCCACCCAAGTTGAACTGACAGCCCTTGTGCCAGTTTGCAGCAAAACTAGAGTTTGCAATGTTGCCCAAAGCCGCTGAGAACACAATCCTATGTAAGGTTAAACAAAGAAGAGGCTCTGTAAGTCCCAGCCAGTGCGCATCCTCAACTCTGGTTTGCATGAACCGTAGAGCACAAGCCTGGTTTGGGATCTGGGTTTGCAAGTAAACCGCAGTTTGCTCAAACCAGCATGTGCCGGGTTCCACTGCAGCAGCAAAATACCTCCTCCTGCAACACTGGAATGGAAGCACCTCATCCTCTGGTGCGCGGAAAAGCATCACGGCGACACTCCGTGTGCTTCTGCATCACCCTCCGTCCTTCCGCCCCAGCAGGTTCTGTGGAATATTTGTCTTCTGGGCTCCTAGCTTTAGCAGGAAATGGTTTCGCCTCTGCGCAATGCAGGCCTTGAGCAGAAGGAGCATCCTTGAAATGCCTCCATCAGAACAGACCCTGTTCTTTAGTCCCGAGTTAATTTCAGGTCAGTCAGAGGTAGCAATGCAAACCTACAGCAGCTGCGGATGAGCAATCCAACTCTCTCTCACGAACACAATACAGTTGGCTTTCAAACAGGAAATGCCCCCCCAGCTTTTTGTCTCCTTGCCCCAGCTTCAGCCAGGCTGTAGGTTTAAAATTTAAAATTCCCTTCACAGGCTTTGAGGAGATCAGAAACGACTTGCGATCGCTCCGTCAGGTCCAGCAATCTGCAAATGGCTCTGATGTTCCGGATCGCTTTCAAATACACGGCAAACTGTGCTGGCACAGTGCAAAGGATAGGAGTCCTGATTTCAAGAAGGGATTCTGTGTGGACTGTGATGTGGATTTGTTGTTGTTTTGTTGCAAACTTATGCCCGACCCATCACGACCCCGTGGACAACGTTCCATGGTGTCCATTGATACCGGTGTGTGTATGTGAGAGAGAGTGACTTAATATACAGATAAATTTTGTGCTGGGACAGTCTTTAAATTCTCTACCCACTTCATGGCAATTAAGGCAAGGGCAGTGTAAATGGATTTTCCATGTCCTTTTGATAGCTAATAGACTGATATCACAAAATTGGAAAGATAAAATGCTCCCCTCCCACAAGGTGATAACTTGAGGACCTTACAGTGCTTCTGACATTCGAACAACTGGCAAATTGGCATCACCTTCAAATAGATGCTTATCTGGGTATCTAGTCTGCTTTTGCGGAAGATGATGAATAATCACTAGAAAATGGTATTAGCATATATACACATTTCATATGACCTCGCTGCTTGTTCTCACAAATCTGTGTGAGAATACCAAAAAACTGCTGGTGGGGGAGGAGAAAGAGAGAGAGAGAGTGTGCGTGTGCATCCCCTTGGAAGGACTTGCATCCTTAAAGGCAGAGTGCAGGAATTATAATAATAAATCGGTGCCTTCCTACTCTGGCTAGTTATCTTTACGGGCTTCAAGTCTCTTCGTGGACTTCTGATGCTCAGTCCGTCCACTGGAACAGAGCCAACACGGAGCGAGATTACGCTGCGAAACGCGGAAGCCGCAAATGGAGACCTGGAAATCACACACCAGCCAATGGACCTTCCTGTACGTACAGAAGGATTTCAGCCCATTCTAGCCGAGAGAAGGTCGGTGGATTTATCTCACACAGTTGTCTGGCGCTCCCTTTCACAGCCTGCCCATCTCTAAATGTAGGGCAATTCATATATATATATATATATATATATATATATATATTTAATTGTTATATTATTTATGTATGTTTTTATGTATTCTTTGTGAGCCGCCCCGAGGCTTTATTGAGATGGGGGTGGCATAGAAATGTTTTAAATAAATAAATAAGAATATTTCTTTATTTGCAGTCACCCCCCTATTTTCTCCCAAGATGGCACTCCAAGCAGCTGTGCTGGAGTACAATTCCCATCACCCTGGACTACCAGGGGTGGTGGGAGTTGTAGTCCCACATGCTTGGAGAAGACCTCCTCCTCCTCCTCTCTGACACACTAACTGCATGCATCTCAGGGCAGGGAACCTGTGATTACTACATTAAAGGCATCGGCAGCGCCTGGCAAATCACAACTTGTCGCAGGAGGTGCAGAAGCGGAATCTTTTTCCCAGCCTTCAGTATACCTCGTGGCCACGAGATGGTGCCCAACTACAGGGAAACGAGTCCTGCTTTGGGAGGAATGGACTCGGACGCAAGCTAGGAACAATTGCATTCTCCATCTTGCTGAAATCTATTCTGTTAAGCCCTGCCATGATGTAAACTGAATAGGTTTTGCTGTGTTTTTAAAGGAGTGTCGAATTTGGGGATCTGGTGCCCAAGGTTTACTTGAGCAGCCAAAGCAAACCCAGAAGAGTCACTTGCAGGGTGACCTGAGCCATCTCTGCTCCGGCAGCCTAATGCAACCACCCCTCTGGAATGTGTCCACAGGGCGAGAGAGAAGCATAGTTGTGTTTCCCCACCCATTTTTGTGTGGGGAAGATGGGCTTTCACAGTCCAGCTGCCATACCGACCCTAAAAACAAAATAGGACAAGAACGAACTTACGATTCCATTCTGTACGCTGAAACCCAACTGGTATTTCAAGTCCGGCCGCTTTATAAGAACCGTGGTGACAGGAGGGCAGCTGACAATATTCAACTTCACTTGTGTTTGATTCTTAAGACCCTGCAAAATATGCTCAGTGGTAACTCATTCTCTATCAAGACGCACTTCTTATGAGCCATACAGCTCCGTTTCCATCATCAGCATCTTCCACTGAATTCATAGAATCCTAGAAGAGTAGAGTTGGAAGGGGCCATGAAGGCCATCGAGTCCAGCCCCTGGATCACAGATTCATGGGACAGTAGAGTTGGAAGGGGCCATGAAGGCCATCATGTCCAACTCCTGGATCACAGAATCATAGAATCATGGAATAGTAGAGTTGGAAGGGGCCATGAAGGCCATCCTGTCCAACTCCTGGATCGCAGAATCATAGAATCATGGAATAGTAGAGTTGGAGGGGGCCATGAAGGCCATCCTGTCCAACCCCTGGATCGCAGAATCATAGAACCATGGAATAGCAGAGTTGGAAGGGGCCATGAAGGCCATCATGTCCAACTCCTGGATCACAGAATCATAGAATCATGGAATAGTAGAGTTGGAGGGGGCCATGAAGGCCATCCTGTCCAACCCCTGGATCACAGAATCATAGAATCATGGAATAGTAGAGTTGGAGGGGGCCATGAAGGCCATCGAGTCCAGCCCCTGCTGTTGCAGGATGCCAAGTCACACCATCCCACTCAGAATCATCAAATCATAGAAGGGTAGAGTTGGAAGGGGCCATGGAGGCCATCAGGTCCAGCCCCTGGATCACAGATTCATGGGATAGTAGAGTTGGAAGGAGCCATGAAGGCCATCGAGTCCAACCCCTGCTGATGCAGGCCACCATGCTACACCATCCCACTTGGACAAGTGCAACCCGCAACTCTGCGTTGCAGCATGGAGTGCTTGCTTGCTTGCTGTTCAGGATCCCAGCCTCTCCCTTCTGTTTCTCTGATTTCTCCCAAGAGTCAGCTATTCAGCACATCCAGACTACCCTATTTGGGGGACTTCCTCATCCCCTCCAAAATGTTCTTTGATCTTCTGTAAACCTTGGGAGTTCTCCCCAAAATGTGGATATAATTCTTTTGTGATGGGTAGAACCATCAACAATAATTAACAGTAGTCAACAATATTGTGTAATCATTAATACATAATCAACCATGTAATCAAATGAACAATATTCAACATAATAAGAACATTCAAACCCTAACTCTCAGAATAGAGGAGAAATTATAGGAAAGGGGTCTTTTTTCCCTTCAAATATTCTAGCAGCATCCCAACTGGCACACGTCCCAGAAAAGAACAAGAGGAGTACCTTAATGATCCCTTGACATGTGGCCAGTGGAAGACCAACCAGACTGGTGCCATTAATAGACATAATCTGGTCCCCGATGCTGAGCTTCCCCGAGCGAGCTGCAGGGCCCCCGTTCATCATGTTGGCCAAGATGACTGTGGGTAATATGGATCCCCAGCCAGACTCCACAATCACCACTCCAAGGATCTCCCCCTTGTGTTTTGCTATCTGGAGCTGCAAGACAAAACAAACAGGGGCGGTGGAAGGATGCTGCGGAAACTCTAGAGACGTGCAGCAAAGCCTCGATTACCTCTGCCGGGAACTTCCTGCAATGGAAGGGAAGGCTTCTTCCGTGGGAGGTGGCTGAGGCCCCATCAGTGAGGGTGTTTACGGACAGGCTGGACATGCACCTGACAGGCATGTCATGAGCGGAGCCGGGGTCAGACTAGATGGCTGGGAGGCCCCTTCTGACTCGCTCTGTTTCTATGTTTTTAGCATGCTGCGATCTCTAGTTGTGTAGAGGTCTGGTGTATACAGAAAAACTGGATGTGCGTAGCTCAGTAGAGAGAGCATTCCTCTTGCAAGCATCTGATGGAAGCCTGTCTCAGTTTTGGCAAGGGCTTCACCTCGCTCCGCTGGTGTGCCAAAGTCTAACAAGCAGGCAGCATGTGGGTCTCTCTAGGGTGGGCATTCCACAACTTGGGGGTCACAGAGGAAAAGGGCCTTTCACAAATAGACACCCAGCATGGGGAGGAGGACTGGAGCAAGGCCTCGGATGCCAGTCCCAGCACATGGCCAGGAGAAGAGTTTTATTTTATTTTTATTTATTAAAAGCTTTTCTATCCCATCCCCCACAGCACCTCTCAGGACAACTTACAATAAGTAAGGATGATACAACAAACCCCACAGCATCTGGCCATGAATATACTAAAACCCCAGTTAAAATCGATCGAACGGGAAAATAACAAGGTTTGAGAAGAGGCGGTCCTTGAGGTATATCAGCACCGCCACCCGGCCATGTTGGGGCTCCCGTGCGAGTTCCTTCTTTCCACCAAACCCCCTTTCCCGGCAGAGGGGCTATTGCTGCACCCCGTCTTTCTCGACTGCCTCTTCCGCTGCCGTCCTTTGGAAGAGGGTGAAGTCAGAGGCAGAGAGGGCCGAGGGGGAGGCAGGTTGGATCTGAGCCTCCAGAGGTGGTGTGGCCATCCAAGCTTCTGCTGGCACCAGGACGGTGGCTCTCTTACAGAAAAGGATACTCCACCAAGGGCTTCCCCACCTCTGCCACCCCCTGCGATTCCCTTCCCTGATTTGTCCTATGCAATTTTCACCGTGCCGGTTTTCAGGCAGGTCTTTATACTTCTGCCAAGAGAACGAGCAACATGGCTATCCGGAGCGACAAACCACACGGATGGGGTGTGTGTGTGTGTGTGTGTGTGTTTCCCCTTCTTCCTGATACTGAGTAAATTGCAGTTTATTTACACTTTCCCCAGTGTTGATTTAAAATCCAATTTCCACTTGGCTTGTTGATTTTCAGCTTCCCTTCCATTCACCTTGGCCGCTTTTCACCTCTAAATGCTCTGCTTATACTCAGCACAAACTGCCAGCCAGATAAAATCGCCTGTCTCCCAGCGAGGTTTATGACATTTACTTCTCATTTAGAGTTTTCACCTCCAGAGCGACATTCCAAATTATTAAAAGGCCAGTGCTCCCTCTGCGAGAGATGAGGGTTGCTCATTTCTAAAACAGAGTGCAGGAGAACCAAAAACTGCTTCGATCTCTTACTCCGGACCAAATGGCAGTAAAGAGCCCTCCCTGCCTATTGCCTGCCTGGAGGTTTTGGGAGAAAGTCAGATCTGTCATTTGGGAGAAGGGTCACAGCTCAATAGCAGCACACCTGTCTGGTTCAGTTTCTGGCATCTTCAGGTAGAAAAACCAGGTAGCAGTTGATTGAAAAAGCCCTTTTCTTCCTTAGACCCTGGATGGTTGCAGAGGTGTGTCTCCCAACTTGGTGTTTTCCAGATGTTTTAGAAGACAATCCCCTGCCTTGACCATGCCAGCATGGAAGTGTCTATTCAGCCTACACATGTGGCAAAATAGCCCGAGCATACAATAAACCCACAACACTCAACACAGACAACACTATCTTGCATTCCGCCACAGCTACAAGCCGTGGAAGGATGCCCAGGAGTCTGGTCTTCAATTGTGGCGTCACCTCTCTCAAAAAGGATTGGTTTCCTGCTCTTCCTTTTGCACAAGGGGGGATGGATGCTCACTTCATTTTTGTTTGATTTTTGAGAAAAGGGAAATCCAGCACTCTTGATTTTTCCCAAAGGGGATTTGTTACATCCATGCGAGAGCTGCAAGAAAGCAAACCCTGAGCAAGAATGTGTAAGTTGAGGTTGAATTCCTGGGGCAGCTGCTGCCCATCAGTCTATATTCTGATTTTGAGAAAGGAACAGTGGAGAATCCAAAGCAAAAAATACTCTGAGAGAGTATTTCCTCTGCATCTTAAATGGAATGAGCAGAAATGCAAAGGATGCTGGGAAGAGCCCCTTAAGGACAGCATCCATCCCAGATATGGAGATGATGTTCCTCCAACGTGGGGTCTTGGCTTTAGAAACAGCAGGACAAAATCTCCTTGGAAATGTACATTGCTGGCCCGCTAGGCTAGGCTAGGCTAGGCTAGGCTAGGCTAGGCTAGGCTAAGGCTAAGGCTAAGGCTAAGGCTAAGGCAAAAAAGGCAAAAAAGGCAAGGGGCAGGATGCGCGAGATCCGACTTGGCAAAAGCACAGCAGGCAAAATGCCCCGGCCTGATTAGCTCACAGCTTGAATCCTGTCTCCATCCCACATTGATCACTTTTATGAAGAAGGAAGGGGGGTGGGTGCTGGAGCAAGTTGGCTGAGACAAAGAGCGACGTAAGACGAACTGCATGTGTGGAGGGGAGCGGAGTGGATAGGTTGGGTGCCACTGCAGAGAAGGCCCTCCTCCGGGTACTCACC